CAGCTCCGCTACCAAGTCGAAAACGCACTGGTAAGCCAAGATATATGTTCCGCCTAGGCGCTCCCATATCCCAGGCTTTGGCTCATACCGCATGAGCAAGAGAGCAAGATGAAGCATGGGATCTGGAGTAAAGGATAGAAGGGGCATCTTCAATAGAAAGGTCTTTTCCGATCTCAGATGCGAATAGTGCGCCTCGGTGAGGCACAATCACATGTTCGGCCGGGCCCGGCTTGAGCCAGGCACGGCAGCGGTGCATGCTCGATTTACATCTCGCCTTTAACCCTCTCCGTTTAAAGTGTTTCTGGCTCTTCACGAGAGGCATCGCATTCAAGAGGTTTCTGGCTCTTCTGCTCGCCATGTTCCTCCTCCTCATCCCCATCACCATCGTCATTATCATCCTCATCAACTTAATCATCATGCTCCTTCTCATGCTCAGCCTTCTCCTCCTCATCCTCATCCGCCTGTTCTTTCTCCCCCCTCATGTCCATCTCTCCATCCCCCATATCCTCTTTCTCGTCCTTCTCCACGTTCTCATCATCCTTCCCCCTCCCTCGCTCTGAATCCCACCAGACCTCTGGGCGTCGGTGGTCTAGAGAGTTTCCTCTTCCAACCCCATTTTTCCCCTTCGGGGAGGGGTTTACCCCTCCCCCTACCCCCTCCCCTGGACCTGGACGGGGGGGTCCGCGGGTCGTTGGGGCGTCCAAGATGGCCCAAGACGGCTCCAAGAGCGAAAAGGCGAGAAAGCAACAAAAATGTGGTTTCCGTAGGTGTTGGAAGAGTGTTGGCCTCTTTCGGGGCCCAAGAGGCGATTCGAGGCACTCTAGAGGGGCAACGCTAATATACAACCCCCCCTTCTTTGATAGATCTCCTCCAACATGGCCCCAAAAGCGCCCCGAAGGCTCCCAAGAACACCCCAAGAGCGCCCCAAGAGGGCCCCAAGAGGCCCCAAGAGGCGCCCACGAGACCTCCCAAGAGGCTCCCAAGAGACCCCCAAGAGGCCCCAAGAGGCTCCCCGAGATACGCAAGAGGCCCCCGGGACCGCCAAGAGGCCCCAAAGACGGCCCAATAGGCCCCCGAGCTCGCAATTGTCCTCCTCCTCCTCCTCCGCCTCCTCCTCCTCCTCCTTCTCCTCCTCCTCCTTCTCTTATTCTTCCTCCTCCCTCCTCCCCCTCCCTCTCGTCCTCCTCCTCCTCCTCCTCCTCCTCCTCCTCCTTCTCCTTCTCCTCCTTTTCGTCCTCCACGTCCTCGCCCTCCTCCATCTCCTCCTCCTCCTCCTCCTCCTCCTCCTCCCCCTCCTGCTCCTCCTCGTTCTCCTCCTACTCCGACGACGACGACGACTCCTCCTACATCCTCCTCCTCCTCTTGGGGTATATGGCGGCTTAGCCCGCCCTTTGTTCTTCTGCATGCTCCCCCGCTTTCCTCATCACCTCGGACTCATTTCTGGACGGGCTGGTGGGGATACGCGAAGCGTTTCGAATTGCAGTGCGTTGCATCGTGCTGCGCTGCATTATGTTGCATTGCGTTGCATCCTGTTGCACTGCATAACGTTGCATGTGCATTGCGGACAAAAGAAAAGGACGAGGAGGAGGATAGGGTAGTATGCTTGTTCGCGCCCCTCCCTGGTGATCATCGTCGTCATCGTCGTTTTCCCCGTCCTCGTCGTCGTCGCCGCCGTGGCCTCATTGTGATTCGGCCCCCGCGGCGCTGCGGAGCTGCCAGGTAACGAGTAGAGTGGAATAGTATGTTTGGCCCGCCCAAGCAATGCAACCAACGTGGCGATTAGATTTGGAATAATTCCACACCTAGGCTCTGCCTAGAACGGTTCTTACCCGGTAGCTTAAAAGGGCCGGGCAGTGGAACGCGCCCCGGGCGGTTCCCCCTGTATCCGCCCCGCGGTTCCCCCAGTGCTGCCCCTTAGCTTCGCGTTGCTTATCTCATCTTAGCTTAGCTTATTTCATCTTAGCTTAGCTTAGCTTCATCGTAGCTCATGTTTATCTTAGTTTAGACTACTGTCATCTTAGCTTCGCCGAGCTTTAGCATAGCAGAGCACGGCATGGGTGTAATTCCCCGATTTAAGCGTTGCCTAGAGGGTTAGCTTAGCTTAGCTTAACTTAGCATAGCGCAGCGCTGCATTAGCATAGCATAGCATAGCATAGCCAGTCATAGCATAGCATAGCACATCATAGCGCAGCATATCATAGCATAGCATAGCATAGCATAGCGCAGCTTAGCATCGCATATCATAGCAGAGCTTAGCACAGCATAGCACAGCGCAGCATGACATAGCATAGCATAGCATAGCATAGCACAGCATATCATCTCATAGCGCAGCATAGCATAGCATAGCATAGCATAGCATAGCGCAATATAGCATGGTATAGCATAGCATAGCAACTAATGCTGCTTTCCTAGGGGCTCCAACTTCTAGGTAGGGTCGCACTGGGGTAATTCAGGAGACTTGGAACACTAAGGGCCAGAATCGATGCGGACAGGTTGGGGTAGGGAAAATCGCGATCGCTTGGGTCTGAAAATCAAAAAAACAACACATGCCCCGACCATTCACAAAAACTTCACATAACCCCACGAAACCCCCAACCGGTCCCGCGAAGTCTGCTACGGAAGAAACAAACTGCAACGAACACCGAAAAGTGCGGGGCCCTGAGAATGAAACGCAAGCGGGTGATTTCTGAGAGGGTTACGACTACCCTTTTGCAAGTCTAGCGCGGCTTGACGAGAGAGAAGTGCTGCCAGACACCCATACCATGATACACAACCAGGCCTCGTCCACATATGGTTCAAGCCTCCCCGTGATTCTTCGGCATCCCATGGCGTTGCCTCGTGACGACGCGCACATTTCGTTACAACGCATTGCATTGCGTTGTGTTGCACAACATTGCATTGCGTGGCGTTGAATTGCATCGCATTGCATCGGGTGGCAGTGAATTACGTTGCGCTGTTCTTGCGTTTCCTTGCATTGCACTGCGTTGCGCTGCATCAGTGTAATCCTGTCGCGTTGCACCTCGTTGCGCTGCTTTGCAATACTTTGCGCTCGGAGAAATTGCAGGCGAGGGGGAGGAGGACATGGCGGGAGGAGAAGGGATGAAGGCATAGAGGAGGGGAGGACGGAGGAGTGAAGAGGAGTGAGGAGGGGCGGAATAATGGAAAACAAACCAACAAACCAACCAACCAACCAACCACCTGAACAAGCGGGCGAGAGGCCACCCAATCACCCAACCAACCAGACAACCGACCAACCGACTTTTCAGCCAACCAACCGACCAATCAGCCAGCCGACCAACCAACAAACCAGCAAAGCAAGCAACAACCCGACCAACCAACCAACCAACCGATCAACCAATCGACCAAGTGACCGTCCAACCAAACCACCGACCAACCAGCATATTAACCAGCCAACCCACCAACCAACCAACTAATGAGCCAACCAACCAACCAACCATCCCGCAAATAGCCAGCCAGCCAAACAACCAGCCGACCAACCAGCCAGCCAACCAACAAACCCATCAGCCAATCAACAAACCAACAAGCCAACCAACCGACCGACCAAGCAACCCACCAAACGACCGACTAACCAACCACCTCTTCAAGTTTTCACACCTCTTACATGGGTCGCGCCTCAGGGACCAGGAACAACATGCTGAACTCCCCAATATATTATGGGACGGCAAAAACAAGCAACATTCATTGAAAATGTTAGATCCAATTCCCGCCGAAGGAGTGGAGACGGGGAAAGGGGAGAGATGGGCGACGGGGGGACACGTGATGACGATGAGAGGGAGGAGGCGGAAAATGAGGAAGACGAACGAGCGCAGGCGCTGGAGGACCGCGTCTGTGGAGGAGCAGGGGGAGGAGGAGGAGCAAGAAGATCATGCTGAGGAGGGGGATGCCGGAGGATGATGGAGGAGGGAGGAGGGAGGAGGTGATGCTGGGGTTCCTGGGTTCTGGTGTCCTCAAGTTGGCCCTGGGATGTCTGGAGGGATTTGGTGAGAGTTTATGCAGGGGTCGTGCGGCCAAAAGGAGAAAGGAGACGAGGGGGGCGAGGAGGCGGGCGGGGGGAGGAAGGTGGAGGCAAAACGACTGGGGACGGACGAGGGAAGCGGAAAGAACACGAGGAGTACAGTTAACGCCTATCGTGAGGATGCGCGGCAAGGATGCAAACCTCTTGGACGCCCAGGTTGAGACTATTTGAGCTAAGGGTTGCATGAGGATGGGCCGAACAGGCAAGGATGCAGGGGTGCCCTTGGGAACGTCACTCAAGCTTACCATGTGCGTCCATTGTAAGACAGGCCGGGAGGAGGCAGGGTGGAGGAGGGAGGGGGAGAGGATGAGGCGGGGCCCGAAACGAGAGCGAAGGAACAGAGGAGGGACGAAGGACAAATGCAGGGAAGGCATCGGAGGGGCGTTCTGAAGCTTCGCATGGGGTCGGAGCAGGGGAAACTTATTAGAGTGCACTCTTTCGACATCCACGGTCAGCTCGACTGTGACGCCATTCCTGAAAAGATGGGGCCCTTTGCCGACGAATAAAGGCGTAGGAGGCAGATGATGAAAAGAAGCGAAGAGACGGATGTGCGAGGCGATGACCAGGTCATGCAACGAAGGGACGGATCAATATGTAGAGGCGGGATGAGGAGCGCATGATAATGGCATGAGAAGCACGAGTACCCTTCTGAGACACTGGGCAATCAACACTAATCGCACTTCTTGTCCGTCCTCCTACTCTTTTTCTAGAGGACGAAAAACCTGCATAAACATAAACTTGCGAAGTTCCGGGCGGAATTATTGCATCTGCGCCGGGGGCCCCTGGCGGCGCCTCCGGCTCCGCCCCTGGTGCGCTCCGCGCGAGAGGGAGAGGGGTCCAGCGCGGATCCAAAAACTATGTTTACGCAAGTGTTCCAAATTCGATTCTCCTCATCCACCTCCATCAACCTGCAATCACATGCAACGCGGGGTAGATTAGAATGGTGTTTGTGCTTCCCGGCGGCCTCCCCACTGCTGCTGGCCCTGCTGCGCCTGCTGCTGCCGCTGCTGCATCTGCTGCTGCATCTGCTGCATCTGTTGCATCTGCTGCATCTGCTGCATCTGCTGCTGCTCGGGGACCAAAGAAGGCGCAAACATTCACCTTCGGAACTCCGCGCGGACTTCTTGGATCTGCGCTGAAGCGCGCCAAGGGCGGCTCCGGAGGGGCGGCTCCGGAGGCGCCGCCAGAGGGACCAATCGCCTATCGGAGAAATTCGCGCGAAGCTCCGAAAGTGTGGGTCCATGCCGATGTTGTCCTCGAGCCGATGCTGCATCTGCAGCTGCTGCTGCTGCTGCTGCTGCTGCTGCTGCTGCTGGCCGCCCCAGGCCTGGGGCGCGGCCGGTGGCCGGACCCGGGGCAGAGGGTTGGCAGGGCACCCAGACGAAGAGGCGGAGGAGGAGAAGGAGGAAAAGGAGGAGGAGGAGGAGCAGGGGGCGAGTCGGAGGTCCAGCGAGGAAGGGGGTGGGGGGGGGGCAGTCCAGGGGCCTGCCAGCGGCGGGCGTGCCCGGGCGCGGGGGAGGGACCTCCCAGGGCTCCCAGAGGACGCTTCGACCCCCCTCCAACAGAAATATGCGTCGTGAGTGGTGTGTATGTGTGTGGTCTTCCGCTCGCTCTCTCTCTCTCTCTCTGTCTCTCTCTCTCTCTCTCTATGTTTTTTCTTGTTGTCTCTCTCCCTCTCTCTATACATATACACACATAGAGATATGTGTAGATGTATACATTGCGCACATCTCTCTATATCTACATTCTCACATACAACCCCCTCGATGCTCGATCCTGGATGGGGGGCTCGACTACCCGACGTGGTTGTGACACTTTCACGGCACGGGCCCCTGGATCCCTCGACTCCATCCCGAGGGGCGGCGTCCCGCCGTGGGCCGACCGGCGATGGCCGCAGGGCGCGAAGACGGGCCCCGTGCTCTCAAAATCGCAGCCTGGAGGATTTGGTCGGCCCCTCGATTTCCATGGAGAGCCGCCGTCGGGCCCATCCTGGATGGCACCCGGGCCAGTTTTCCGTGCTTGCGCACGGCGGCGCCCACGAAGGAGGAGGAGGAGGCGGAGGAGGAGAGGGGGAAACGAGGAGGGGAGGACCCCAAGATCCGACGTTGCCAAGAGACCAACTGGAGCCCGAGACCCAATTTTTCTGCCATTGCTCGAGCCACAATATGCGAGGGCCGCGGGGTCCGAAACCCGGCGAAAACGCCCAGCGCGAAACAAACGCAATGCCCCGATCTGAGGGAGGACCAGACAGGAGGAGGAGGGAGGAGGAGGAGGAGGAGAGCGATGGAGGGATGAAGAGGAGGAGGCGCAGGAGGAGGAAGACAGAAGAAGAGAAAATTGTCTTGATGGGCCACCCGCCCTCGATTGGTCCTCTGGGTGCCCCTCCCAACCCTCCCCCCAAGGCCGACGCCCCGGCCGCGCCTGCCCGGCCCCGCCCGCGATGGCGAAGGTTGGGTCGACGGGCCCGTCGCAGGGCACCTTTCAGAAGGACCCCCTCTCTTTTCTCTTTTCCTTCTCCCCCGCCTCCTCCTCCCCCTCCTCCTCCTCCGCCTCCTCCTCCGCCTCCTCGCCCAGCTCCGCCTTCTTCTTGTTATTATTATCCTTCTTCTTATCATTATCTTTCCTCTTCTTCCGCGCAGCCAGCAACCCCCGACTCCCCCCAGAGCGAACGCTGCGCGGCCCGAGGCTGCGCGCCGCCCGCTGCGCCACCGCCCCTGCACCGCTGCCGGCAGGGCTCGCGCGCGCTGGTGTCCCCGAGGCATCGCAAGCCCCGGCTCGCCTCGCGCGCCCCGCCCAGCCTCTTCACGCCCGTGGCAGATGGCGTCCTGCAGCGCCAGACCGCATCTGGACGAGGATTTTCTGGCCCTTGAGCTCCGTCCCTGCCAAGGTGATCATGGAATTCCTGGACTCCGCCTCTGCTGAAAAGCGCGCTTGCCCGTGCTCCGGCGATCTCCCGTGGACGGCCCCGTCCTCAATGAGCACTTTTCAGTATTCCACGATGCGCGCCTGCCTCGCGTGGTCCTTGAGCTCGCGCCAGTCGACGAAGCAATCTAGGTTCTCTACGTAGACCATGTTCGCCCCACTCCGTAGGTTGTCGCCGCATGCCTCTGTAGAAAATGACGTCTTTGAATTATCCTCCTCTTTCTCTGCTTCATCCGTCACCTCGTAGTCCCCCACCGACTCGTAGATCCCCTCCTGTGGTTTCTCGTCGCTCTCCTCGGCCTCGTCGTGGCCGTCGCGCGGCCCAGCCTCTGCCGCCCTCGATCTCTCGTAGGGGCACTGCAGCCACTCCCCCCCCTTCGCGCACAAAACGAGCTGCCGCTGCCGTCACTCCTCGCGCAATGCGCCGACTGTCGCAGCCCCTGAGCTGAGGCAGATTGCCCCTTGTCCAGCTGCCACTGCCGTTCCCGAGCGCTGCCGCCGCCGACCCTTTTTGCTGCTGGATTTATCATTATCCCCCGCCGCCTCCTTCGCCGGCTGGGCCCATTCTGTGTCGGGGATGAGCAGGTGCACGACATCTCGGCGGCCACTTTCGGCAGCGAATCTGCGAATCTCCGCAAAGAGTCCTGGAGGGATACCACGAGCCCGTTGGTCTCGCCAGCCTGGTAGGTCTCACAGCCAGGAGGCCGCGCCCGCGGCGCCACCGTTGGCGAACACCTGCTGTAGAACGCGCGCGCGCCCAGTTCCAAACGGCGCGCGCTTGGCCGTCGAACGTCGCGGCTGATAGCACCGGGCTCATGGTTCGACTTACTTCCGCCCTCGTAACTGATGGTATCGGGCTCGTGCCCTCGTAGCTCATGGCATCGGGCTCGCGTTTCGCGTCTCAACCCTCGCGGGTGAAGCCGCCGGGCGCGCGTTCTGCTGCGCCGCTATCGTAGTCGATGGCCTCGGGCTCGTGCTGGCCCCAGGTTGTAGCTGAGTCGCCCTGGGTGCCTTTGGCCAATGCGTCACGGTGCCGCTCTCTTGGCTGATGGCATCGGGCCCTTGCTTCGCCGCGCCGCTCTCGTAGCTGATGGCGTCAGGCTCGTGCTGCGTGCCCCCCTCCGTCGTGAAAGATTACGTCGGGCTCGTGTCTCGCGCTGCAGCATCTGCCACTTCTGGCCCTTCTCGCACTGCTACCGCCCTTCTGGCACCGCACCTGCTGGGACTTTTCGCGCCACTGCTAGCCCTCCTCGCACAACGGCCGGCTTCTCTTGCCATCGCCGGACGTTCTCGCGCCACTGCCGGCCCTTCCTCGCACCACTGCTGGCCCTTCTCGTTCCACTGCTGTGCTGCGTGCTGCCAGTTTCCGCGCATGTATATGATGGCGTCTGGCACGCCTCCCGCTCCTCCTCCTCCTCGCCAGCGTTCGCCGCTACTGCCAGCTCGCGAAACTGTCTGGTGCCCTGCGAGGGCGACATATCGCGCGCGCGTCTGGACATCTCGAGGGCGCGGGCGCCCGACGCGGCCAGCTCTTTTCTCGCGCACGGGGGCTCGCGCGTGTAGCTGAGGACCATGGTGTCTGCCATTCTCGCCACTGACCGCTGCCGCGGCCGACTCTTCTCGCGCGCGCGGGCCCACGCATGTTCCTGATGGCGCATGGCTGTTGTTGTTACTGCCATTGCTGACCCTTCCCGCGCGCGCGGACCCACGTCTGTGGCTGCTGACGTTCGGGTGTTGCCCGCTGGCACCGCTGCCTTTTCTAGCGCGCGCGGTCCCGCGCTTGCAGCTGAGGACGTCTGGCCACTGCCTTTCCCACGACCCCAGACTGCCACAGCCGACTCTCCTTGCACAGACGGGCGCAGAGATGCAGCAGAGGGTTGGGCTGCAGGCGCCACCAGCACTTGTCGCGCAGATGGGCGCACGCACGTAGCTGCTGACGTTGGGTTTCTGCCACCCGTGTCCCCTCGCAGGCTCTGGTTCTGGCAGGCGTGTGCTCCCCGCTTCTCTCGCGCACGCAGGTTTTGCCGTCGCTCCTCGCTCTGGCGACGCGCTGCTGCCGGCCACTTCTCATGGTGACGACATCAGTTAAAGTGTGGTCGGCCTCCCCGGCGGATTGTGCATTGAACCCGTCTGGAAGCAACTTGTGTGGACCATGGAAAAGAACTGGTTTGTTGAGCATCGCCAGGCTCGTACCCTCGCAGATCCTCTTAGCTCCCTCGTCGCCTTGAAGCCATGGTGCGGCCGGAGGCGTAGGGCCCGACCGCCAACTCCGTCTCCTCCTCCTCCTCCTCCTCCTGCTTCTCCGCTTCGGCATCCTCCTCCTCCTCCTCCTCCTCTTCCTCCTCCTCCTCCGCCTCGGTTTCCTCCTCCGCCAAGTCTTCCTCCTCCTCCTCCTCTTTCTCCTCCTGCGCCCCGGCCCCCTCCTCCCCCTAGCCACGCGGTGGGTGTTGGGTGCCATGCATATCCTGGCATCTGGAACTGCAAATGCCGATGGCACACTGTCCGTTACCCCGGTCGTGCAGGCAGGGGTGGGAGCAGCCAGCTTACGTGCTCCGAACCAGCGGCTTGGGCCTTCGCCTTGTTGCCTGCGACCAGTCCGCTGAAGTTGGGGGCCAAACGCGCGGGGATTGTGCATTTGCTGGACAGGTCGGGCCAGGGTAGTCCGTAAATCGCATGGGGCCTTGTGCCCGCTCACCGTGGGGAACCAAATCCAAATGCGCATGCCAGTCGATGCGATAGTGCATGAGCCGTGGTTTCGCAGTCTCGACTGGGCAGCGCGGGCGACAAAGTCTCCTCACGACTCAATGCGATGCCAGGGATCGGACGTGCCCCAACGCTGGTTGAGACGGGCACCCTACTTCTAATTCTAAGCTTAAGGAACTAACTCCACCGCCCCCCTCCCCAACCCATACCCCGTCCAACTACCTTCTCCTCCGCCCCCCTCCTCCATTCACTCCCTTATAGATAACTCCTCCCCGTCGCACCCCAAGGCCAGTCGGAAGGGCGGGCCAGGCGTTTTGCTTGAGACCTGCTCACCACATATGGTTCTGAAACTTGCAAATTGCAGCAATTTTACAAATTGAAAGCGAATCGGTTTCAAAATGTGGCTCTCGCCAGGGTGCCGCGCGCATCCGTTAAA